TGATCCTTCTTCGAAAACTTCTCATGAACTTGCTCTTGTTCCTCCATGACTCTTTTGTTGACTGCTATGAGGAAGTGGTTACATCTATCTGGGTTTGTTGTGCGAGAATGGATGTGTCTAAAGAATCTATGAGATTTAGGGTAACTTTATGGGGTAATCCTTACTGATTCCTTCTATAATTATACAATGTATACAAGTTCTATATAATTTAAGATTAAATAGGACTTCGAATAAGTGATCCTACTCCAAAACCACAACCAAACAAGGAACAGGTAGTGAAGCATAGATCACATAAAATCTCAATTATATTAAACCTTGGGAGTATACATTGCAAGATTATAGACCTATCCGTAAGGGTCTTTTTAGTTATTGCATAAGTTATTTATATAGTGCCTAAAAAACCCCTATAGTATTTTAATATAATGTACTTAGTATGTTTCAAACTTCTTATCATGTTATAGTATCATAGAATACTCCTATAGTATTCTAACTTTCATGTTCTGATCTAGAAATCCTTTGTATAGAGCTAGGTAAGTTTTAACACCGTTGCAACACCACATCACTCCCAAGAACATGTTGGTTGCTTCTCAAATGAATATAGTTGATCAGGCTATATTGATCCCAGATACGATTACATAACTGCCCATGTTTGACCTCATTATTCAACCTTTAAATACTTTTGTTCTGTTCTTATTGTGATACTTGTTCTAGTATGTATACACGTATAAGCAAGTAGATATATTTTTATAACTTATCGTTACACTCTTTAAAATATATTATTATCTAGAGCACTTAAGCCCCATTGTACTTATCATTGTATCTATTTTATCAGTTCATATACTTAGTTCACTATAAACAATGCTCAGATACCAATCTGTCGCACCCTGAAACCGGAAAGGCAGAAACGTTTGGAGGTGGAGGACGTCATGTTTAGTATTACAAGACATGCATCATACTAATCAAAGTAAATAAACAACCATTTCATTAGAAAGAAAGTGTTTACAAAGTGTGAGTTCACAAAACAGAGAATACATAAGAAAATAACAAAACAAGACATGAAGCTATACTGCTCCATCTTCTGAATTCCAAGTGCGAGTACTTGTCTACTAGTTTCCTAAGAATACAAGTTATTTAAAAGAGTTTATCAGCAATTAAGCTAGCAAGTTCATAACATTTTAGTGATGTAATTATGTTGTAGAAAGTTTAGTAAGTTTTAAGTTATGTTTAGAAAAGTTCGCCTGTTCCTCCAGAAAATCCTATATTTCCTTCTTTGATGAAAGTTAAGTAAAAATGACTCTACAATCCTTTCTATGAGTACTAAATGGATACAAGTTATATAAAACTCGGAATAAACAAGCAATCAGTTGTTTGTATCTACCCTAAGTACGCAACCAAACAAGGAACAGGAAATGGGGCGGATGACACACATCCCATTGATTGTTAGATAATTGTTGTATATAACCCTAGTGTATTCACTTGGTACTCACAGAGTTAACTGTATTAGTTCCTTTATATTTGATGAAAAGATCCTTTAAGAAAACCCTTATTTCTTATAATAAAATAGTAACCACAGTGGTTCCTTATATAGTCACTTAGTTTATACTAGCTATATAAAATCTAATATCGAATGAATAGTTACTTGTATGAATCTACCCTAAGCCTACAACCAAACAAGGAACAAGAAATGAGGCGGAAGGCACATATCTAACTATCTATCGAGTATTAATTATATATAACCCTAATGTATAAACTAAGGTATTATAGAATTAATCAGCTAAGGTCCTTTAAGTTGTACTGGTTTAATGAAATAGATTAAACCCTTTACTGGTAACTTTCTACTTTGTATACCAAAAGTTCTAATTTAGAAAATATATTTTGTACTAGAAAACTGTGCATTGATTTAGTGTCCTATGACCTGACCCATACCTAGTACCCCTTATGATGACTTAATGTATACGCAACATATATATAACTAAGGTCGAATGGATAATAGGTTGGGTGAATCCGCTCTAAGCCCACAACCAAACAAGGAACATGAAATGAAGTGGAAAGCACACATCCTATTACCTGTCGGATCCTATTAGTATATACCCCTTGATGTAGACATTAAGGAATCATAAGGTTAGCATTATGGTCCCTTTCTAATGAATGTACTAGACTCGACTGTTCAGATTGTCGTTTGTAAAATGTAAGTTTTCCCTAGTTTATAACTATCTAGACTCGAAAATAGTTTGCATTAACTTTCAAGTGGAACTGTCACTTTATGAAAGTTATGGGAAAATGATAGTACTCAAATGTCTTTTAAATTGACAACATGGCGTACTGATTTCCTTAAAACTTGTTTGTTTTATGAAGGTCATAATGTGAAGGGTAGCACCCATACTATACGCACTCCCTGTCAAGAGATTCTGGGAATCAAACACGACTTCCGCAAACTAGTTGTTAGGTCGTGTAATCCACATTAAAGCTATGTGATCATGTACACCCAATATAACCATCACCTTTTGTTTAGAACAATGAGTTAGTGATTCACTGGTATAATTAGATCATGTAGTATTTCCATGCTATAGTAACTTAGTATGTTGGTTCTGTTATAGTATCTTAGTATGTTCTTCTTGTTATCGTGTATTGTATCTAGTATGAAATGAACCTCTAAAGTATACCCATTATAGTTTACTAGTATGTACTTGAAGTGTTATTGAAAAGACTCATTTTACTACTAAGTTATGCTTGTACTTTAAAAATGCAGTTTTGTTAAACTATAAAGTAACATAACTTGAAAAGAGATTTTGATATGTTTTGACCACATATAAAAGACATAAGCAATCATTTGAAATATATTTACAGCAAACATTAACACACTTATTATTGTGTTCAACTTGTATCCCCCCACCCCTTTAAAGCATTTAAAACAGTTTAAATGATTAATTACGGGGTATGAACTCACCTGATGTGGGTGATTCAAACGAATATGTGTGTAAGGATGAGAAGCTCCACGAATGAAGTCCGGGGACTTAACGAGTCGTAAATGACATATAACGGCATATATTGACATAAATATAGAGTTTAGAAGCAACCAAATTCAAGGAAACACCTCACGGGACTAGGAAACACTTTGACCAAGTGTTGGAATTACATGTGATTCAACTAAGGGATGTTTAAGGCCAAGAAAAGGTGTTTACAACCAGGGTGTAAACTGATGGTCGTAAACTCATGGAAATGTTCATAAGAGGGTGTTTGAGTGCCAGTGAAACTTGAGGGATCATTACACTTCACAAGGATGAGCAAAACCAATGTTTTGGAGGGTGTTGAGGTGTTTACGCCTAGGGTGTAAACCGTATGGTCGTAAACTCACCAAATGGTCTCATCTTTGGTCATAAAGGCAAGTGGTTTCAAAGGTTCAAGTTTTATAAGGGTTGGAAAGGGTCTAGAAGTGTTTAAGGCTCAAAATACCACAATTTCACAGGTATACGGCCAGGAGTGTAAATTCATAGTCGTAAAATATCTTTGATGATGAGTTTGATGAAGTTTTAAGGCTATAATCAGGTGTTCCAACTTGATAACAAGTTAAGGAGTGAGTACTTATGATGTAGAGGCTTGAAATGGTGATTAAGGTCCAAGAACACTAGTGTGTGTTCTTGGTGTTCTTGGTGTTTCTTGAAGATCTTAGAAATGATGATTTCCATGGATGAAATCATGAGATGATACTAGGTAATGAAGAATATCACCTAATCAAAGGTTAAAATGCTTACATATATGAAGATCTAGAAGAAAGACTTGTTGATACTTGAGAGGATTCGGAGGTTTTCTTGAGGTTGGAATGTAAGAAATGGCTAGAAATGACCAAAAGCCATATATATGGACTTGAGTTTACAATAAGATGAGTTTATGACCAGGGTGTATACTCTATGAGTTTACAGTCATGGTGTAAACTCATGGACATTGTGGCCGTGAACTCCTTAGGATGAGGTTAAGGCTTGATTTGTTGTACAATGGCTTCAGCAGGTACTTCCTAACACTTATCCCACTTCAAATTCAAACTTCAGGGATACATATAAAAGGGGATTCAATGGTCTTGATCAGTTTATGCTTTTAAAAGAAAATTTCCCAAATTCTCTCTGCAAAATCAATTTGTTCTTCAGAAGTTTTCAAAAACCTACTCATGGCTACTCATGCTAATGGTGATGCACCATCCCAAACCACAGAAGACATTACTTCTCTATAGATCATGAAGAACCAACGAACCAACTATCAAGTCGAAAAAACGTATCTCTTTATCCTGATGATTTGAAGATGTTGGTGGTTGCTCTTAAAATTTTATTTCTTTCAACTGTAATGTTTATCTCTTTCGTTGTTCCTCTATCCTGGATTTCGATAGCAGGATCCACTGCAACCTACAACAAAGCCCTAGATATCATTACCTTCAATCTGGTAAGTGACAAGAAGGTTAGATTGACAAAGAAATTGTTTTTTCAGATTTTCTAAATTCCAAACACACCACCATTTACTTTTCTTTCTTTCGCCCAAGTCAATCATATGTTTAATGAGATGGGTCATCAACCCCCACTCAGCAAGATAAGTGACTTTAAGAAGTCTGGTCTACCTAACTGTACATAATTTTCTATTTGGAATCTCTTTACGCTGCTTGACTGGTCGCAGTGTGGGTCTTGATAAAGGAAGAATGGAAGTCTACGCCATGGTTGCATGTGTATACTATGATATCCTGGTGGACTACTCAACACAGTTGTGGAAAGAATTTTAGAAGAGTGTGGAAAACATGAATGTAGTGCAAGGTATTTCGTGTGCAAGATATTGGAGTCTTATTCTTTGATATTTCTATGACAAAGAAGGAATTCAGGTGTCTGCTGATGAGGAAACTGTTGAATTCATGTAGTATCACTTTTTGAAGGAGGTTTCTGATGATGCTGCGATACGTTGCATAAATTCCTGATGCATTATTGAAACGTGTTAATCTGACAAATTCTGTGTTAATAGAATATATGATGACTATTGATCCTAGAATTGAAACCGGGAAGTTATTGACCAAAGAAGATGCAGGTCCTTCAAAGAATCCAGAAAATCAATAAAGGCTGTTATAATTACTCTTGAGCAAACGGTTCAAGAACCAAAGAAAACGAAGTCTCCTAAGAAACCAACGAAGCAAGATGACCAAGTTTCAAATGGTTTGGTCAAGCCGGTTGAACTTGTTGTCGAAGAACCAACTTCAGTCACTATTCCATCAAAGTCTAGAGTTTTTTTAAGATTGAAAAAAATATTGTGGTTCACAAAGATCTCCATCTTCAAGTGTTGTTAAGAAACTTCATCTTACTTATCAAGGAGTACTTATACGAGAAGATAAAACTCTTGTTTCTCCTTCCACTAAGAAACGAAGAGTTGAAGACATGACAAAGAGGATTTCTAAGAAGACTAAGAAGACAAAGAAAAGACAGCTGGTTATTCCAACAGCATATTCTGAAGACGAAGAAGTGCCTGAAACTCCTGAAGCTATTCTTATCATCGAACCTTCATCTCCTGAGAAGACTATAGTCATACCACCCGAAGTTTCATCTGCCAAATCATTACATGAGGAGGTACGAACATCACTAAAAATGTATCTAATACGTATGTAAATGTCAACATGAGTGAAGAAGATTTACATAAAGAACCTCCAAAATCTTCCCAAGGTACTCCAGTTGTTCTTCCTATCGAACCTGTTTCTACTACTTCTGTTTCTTTACATCCATATATCATTCCTACCACTTCGACCATTGAGTCACCCACTTTTGAAAACATTATCAATCAACCATTCACATCTATTTTCTCATTACAATCCACTGATCCACCAAAACCTATGGACGAGTCTGACAATGAAGAAGGAGGTTTTGGAGGAATATTTGAAGCCTTGGAATTTAATGATGATGATGAAGAATACTTTCTTGACCATATGCTTATGTCCATGAAGCAGTTTAAAATAATGAATAAGAAAATGAATTCCATTATTCAGACTTAAGCAGATATAGGGGAGGTAATTCAGTTTCCATCTTTGAACTGGATGGTTTGATGAATGCATTTGACGCTCGAATGGTGAGCAAAGTATCGGGAATGTTTAAAGACACAGAGTCCAGAATATTAGAGAAGGTGGATCACACTGATCAAAACACTAAGATAGGGGTGAATTCTCGAAATTCAAAGTTTGTGGGGGCTGTAAAGGAATTAATGAATGTTCAAAAAGAACGACATACTTTATTTGTTCTGGATGTGAAGAAGGTTAGAGAAGATATCAACTTCAAGCTTCAAGAGCTTCGTGAAGATATGATTAAAGAAGTTGCTATTGTTCAACAAGACTATGCAGCTCTACATAAGAAGGTTGACATTATTTGTGATGCAATAACGAAGTATGTTACATTGTATGAAAGTTTGAGTCCTCAAATTACTCAACTCTCTACAAGTGATAATCAACAGTTTGGGGAGGTTCTTTCATTGTTAAAAGAATTAAAAGATTCAGTGCTCAAACCTGCTTCATCTTCCATTATTACCCCAGAGTTCTTGTCTCAAAAGTTTTTACAATTTGAAGATATCCTACATAAGCAATTGGCTCCCTTATCTCAAATATCGAATCTTATGCCAACGGGTGCCTTACCTGTTCGTACAGGGGTGCAAGGGGGAGAGAAGAATGTTGGAGAAGCTTCACATGCAAAGGTTGGGGGTGAAGCTGCACATGGAGAGATTAAAGTTGTTGGAAAATTGTCCCTTCGAAACTTCCATCAACTAAGCCAATAATTTCGATTGTTGGGCCAGTTACTTCAACGGTTGTGACGTCAATGCCAATCACAAAAGCAATCTCGAAGGGGATTATAATTGGTTCATCCACTAATTTTTGTTGAAAAGTAGAAGGAGGAGAAAAAAGTTGAGGTCGAAGTTGAGATTGAAAAATTAAGAGTTGTTCAAAGCATCATGAGGCAAAGTGCAAGTGATCCTCCTGGATTGAACAAGGGAGATCCTTCAAAACATTACAATTATGAGACCATAGAAGCGAAGGTGGAATATAACCACATATATGCATTTGAGAGGAAACCAAAACAAATTTATGTGGTTTCGAATACAGACATGAGCCAGCTTGACTTCCCAATCAACGAAATGATGTTCCTAATGCCTCAGTTCAAGATTTCTGATAAGTTTAAGAGTGAAGATGAATATAAATACATGAAGCTTTGTTTTCATGATTTTCTTGCAAAGCCTCCAGAGAAAGTATGGTCCTTAATCAAAATAAAGAAAGTAATCAACATTAAGATGGATGTTTTATTCGAAGACATGATGCAGAATCTGAGATTTTTTTTGGCAAGAGCAAATGGTCAAACTTGTGATTTTACAATAGCTGATTTTCCACTGATGAACTTGTATGATCTTATACAAGTTGCGTTACTCTTAAAAGATAAAAACTCTTCATATCTTTGAGAAACTGTTCCTGAAGTCTTTCGACTTGGAATTGCCCACATCAAGATATTTTTGGAAAATTATTATTAGTGTTTGGCTCTTATCGATGTGGAACTACCAACTATGAAAGGTTTAGAAGTTAAAGCTCCAATGGAACCTACAAAGTCCCAATATGAATTATAGAAGTATGCAGATGGGGAAATCTATTTAAAACCTTTTGGAATGGTTTTTGCTGGAAAGGATAAAGGTGGAAAAGCCAAAAGATTTTTGCTCCAAGCTTGTGAAGTCAAAAGGTATACAACGTCCCAGTATATGAATTTCATTATTTTTATGAATAATTGCAAGAAAAGTAATGAAGGGGATAAGAAGGAACTTAAGAAGATTATTTCCTGGTACACGGAAATCCGAAGGGTGATGATGTATGCTATATAGATTCTCACTAACTGAGAGAAGTCAGCTTCATTACAAAGGGGGAGATTGTAAGGGTCAAAATTATGTTGTAATGAGTCGAAGTCTGTACCCTTCGTATATTTTGTAATGTATTTACTATGGTTTTTTTTGTTCGAAGCCTAATGTCTGTGCCTTAGTACTTTTTGTATACTTTCACGTCTCCTATAAATTGGGACATTACTTAGAGTTAGATAAGACTCTTTACAGAACTTGTCTTTGTTACTCTCTGTAAAACTATTGGAAGTATAATTGAGCTGAATTCCAGATTCTATTTACTCATCGTGTTCATTTCATGTTAATATAACTCTGATTTGATTCTCTTTACTCGATTATCACTTCATCATATTCGACTGATTTTGTTGATTTTCGACAGATTTTGACCAAGGGTATTTTGGAAAAATGTTATTAATTTAGAATGGGAAATGTTTTGATTATTAGGAGTCGGGTAGAGCTGGTTGTTAGAGTAAAGATTTATTCAGACTAAGGGGTGAGTTTTCCTCACTGAACTTATGGGTCGAAGGCACCAAGCCCATCCCATTATTTTATATACCCTGTTTTGTTGCATGCTATTATTTGGAGTTATATGGTACTGGCTATGTGGTTAGACTAGTAAACTTGTACCACTACCTGTGTTTATGTTATTGATTGATAAGATTATGTATCAATATGTTATAGTTTACTAGGTTGAGACAGACCAACTGATACAGAAGGCCAAGATACCCAAGGTGGTCCGGATAGACTGAAGGCCTTCGAGGCAGTCCAGTTAAACCGAAGACCTAGAGAGTGGTCCAGATAGGTTGAAGGCTCGATGAGGCTATCTAGTCACGCTGAAGGCTCTATATGGATGTTGTTGTTTGCTATGTTATGTCTTCGTACTTTGGGGAAACTCATTAAGCATTGGCATACAATTTTATTTTTGTTTCAAGTATTTCTGAGGACTGTGGCAAGGCAAAGGTGTGATCGTTTACATCCTTATGTTTTATGTTATCTAGATTTTTGGGGTACTCTAATAATTGAAAAACAATTTTGAAACAATGGTTTCGTAAACATTATGGGTTGAAATGTTGTTTTCAAAAAGTTAAAATTTTTTGTGATTTCTGAGATGTTACAAGTTGGTATCAGAGCGTTGGTTTGAGAGAATTAGAGGAACATTCATGTGAATCCATACTCAAACTAAGTAAATACAAAATTTTATAAATGGTTTTCAAAACTATTTTTACAAGTGGCCAAGGAAGAATGTGATGTGTACGATCAGCCGGAGCCAGAAAGTATACCCCAAGTTACCATACTATTATTTGATATGATGTTTATGGAAGAAAAATGTGCTAGTGATAGGTCAGGGATCTTCAGGAATCGCATGATAGAATTTTCTAATACGTGATGCCTAATATCCTAGGGTTATTTCTTGTAATGAATTAACATCCTTACTGTAGTGGCTTGGTGTATGCATCATAGTTGTATATAACTAAGATTCTATAGTATGAGAATGTATGGTTTAGCCTTATCTCCTATTCGTGTTTGATAAAGGGCTTAGAGTAGAATCAAGTATTCTATTGTCTATAAGATACAATTTTATGTATGATTACCATACACGAGTACTGTAGGGTTGGTGGAAGTTTCTTGGATGGATGAGTATTTGCGTGAGTGGCCAGTTAGAGGGTGAGGATAGGATGTATGTGTATCGTAGTTGTGGTATCCATTTTGACGGTTGTGATGATCGTTAAGACAAATATGGGTAGGTTGAAGGTAGCATAGATCTGTACTATTGAAAGTACAGGACCCATACGCATCTCAAGGAAGTCACGAACCCTGAGGGTTCGACTATAAAGAATGATTATGATTATATGAATAGTGGAATTCTAATATACTTTTGTTTATTTTTAGTATGGTGTTCATGTGGGGATCAGGTTCTGGATCTATAGCGAGCGTCCAAGATGGGTCGAGGATGACTGATGACCAAATTTGAGAGGTCATCGCCACTTAGGTGGTTGTTGCTGTCCGAAGATCTATGTCGGACACGTTTAGGTCTATCAAGACCGCTATGATCAAGATTTTTGATGAGCGATATGCTGCTCTTACTAAGGTTGCCGCTGCGGCAGTTACTGAAGTCGTCGCTACTACAGTGATTGGTGGGGGAGAGCCTTCCAGTACCAAGACTTCGACAATATGAAGCCCCTGATGTTTGATGGAGTTCAGGATCCAATTGTTGTAATGAGATGGTTATCTGATGTGGAGGGTAGTTTCTTCACATGCTCTTTTCATGTTGACCAGAAGGTCAAGTGTGCCCTAAACCTTCTTTGGTCAGGTGCGAAGGATTAGTGGAGGTTAGTGTTGGGTTCATACACTTCTAGGCAGAGGGCCGCTATGATTTAGGAGCAGTTCTCTGAGTTGTTTCGCTCGAGGTATGTCCCTATGTTGGAAGAGAGAGAATAGCCCATGAGTACATGGACCTGAGGTAGGGAACTAAGACGGTGATGGAGATCACCAAGATGTCTATTGAGAGGGCTCTTTTCTATCCCGAGTTTGCTGCTTCTGAGCAAGCTTAGATGGCCCGGTACTTGAGCATGGTCAAGATAAATATCCGCCAGTTTGTCTCCACTAAGCGGTATGGTTCTCTTGTAGAGCTTTAGGAGGCCGTAAGGGGCCAGGAGATCAAGATGTATCTACAATATACAGATTTGAGGGAGGCCCCATTCTAGTCACATCTTGCAGCGAAGCGGTTCAGAGCTACTAATTCGAGATTTAG